ATGTCATTTTGCGCAAAAATAGTAGTGCAACACCTCATTACGATTTATTAGACTCGGCTATCAGGATTCCTCTGGTCTCTGTTCACGCAGCCCAACCTCTATCGATATTTAATTGGTCAAAGAGTTCATAAACGACAGAAAGGCCAATGTCGTACAATAAGCGAGACATATGGCATGAGTTGAAAGATGAGAAAGCTGAGGCGTTGACCAATTCCTGAAAGGTGTACCGAGCACTTTCCCTCAGCACGTATCGTAAAGTTAATCAAATGGTTATTTGACTTATGCAATGACTTCCAGCAACCGATAGATGCCACTGCTGCTATCCACAGAGTGAGGTTACGTGAAATTTTTGACCCCGTTAAGATGAGGGGTTTGCTAAGCTCGGAACACCCGACTGAATCAAAGACCACGATGGCTCTTACTGCTGCGCTGCACTTATCATGCACCAAAATTGCGGGTTAATAGGGCATCAATCGACGCTACGTCATGTGAGTAATTAAGATTCCGAGAAAGTTAGCTGCCACCTCCATATCGCTATATACACGACATGATAAACTTCTGAAATTCTATTGCGACAAAATGACTGGAAGTTTATGAAATCAATACAGCCCTACTCAAGACACGATGAGCTTAGGCAACAAATTACATAAGCCCTTTCAGATAATCAAGCCAATAACAACCATTTTGAACTAGATTAATAACCTCGTTTTCAACGAGGTAAGAAATTCTTTCGCTATCAGGTAGGTGGCGATAGAATTGCGCCTTCTGCATTGTTGAAATGCGCCGTTTGTAATTGAAATGTATTCATAGTGGGACAACTCGTAGCATTGTCAGCGCATTTGGCCCTGGGACTGCTAAGAAAGAAAGTACAGCGTAGTAGCGTTCAGAAAGTTTTGTAGAGAGACGAGAGCTTTGAAGATAAGCAGCATAAAGGAACGGTCATGGGAAGTTGACAACAATCAGTGAGAGCAATCATCGAAGTTGATCGGTGGGACTGTACGAAATGCTGTAGAAGTTGGCGTAGACTATTCTGCGGTCGTTAGCCAATCACAAAAATAAAGCACAAGCAATTGCTGTTCCAGACCGAAAAAATAAAAGCAGAATGACCGTTTGACGACTGTTGAGATAATTAGTCGTAAGTTCGGCTATTACCACCTCGCGTCAGCTATCAAGACCTGTTTGGAAAGATTAGTCAGTCAGATTATAGTAAAAACAATGTTCAAGAGAAATCGACTTTTATAGACACGATCATAGTTAGCCGATCTGATTGCAACAAAGTGGAGATTGTTCAAGCGACACTGAGCAAACAATGAATGTGTATTTCCAGAAGTATCAAATTAATGTTAACTCTCAGACCAGTCTGGGCCTATCTGCCGACCTCCGAGACTTAGATTGCATCGTTTGATTGTGGATACAAGACTGAACTAAATAAGGGTCATGTGTGTCACAGATCACACTTGATCATGAATTGTAATCGCTCTGTTTTAACGCATGTGCGTCATGAATCACTAGGTTGTTAAACGCGATAAAACAGCGTTTTCGAACGCAGCAGCATTACAATGATACTTTGAGTATCCAATTTCATGTAAATGCGAGAGAACACCCGTTGTCCCAGAACTGCATAAACGCTGCTGCCTATATCAAAAAGTCAAGAACCATTTTACTTTGTACGGTGAGCATTTTAAAGCAAATCACCTTGGCGAAACGAACGTTCATAGTTCATGAAACTAGGTTTTACAACAAAAAGCCACCAGCGTGATACAAAACTTCTCATTGAGCAATGTTTGGCTGGAGAAAACCGCGATGTCTTCTTTTTTGTGAAGAGAGTGGAACTCATAACTAATTTGTGCCATTGCAACATTCAAAGGATTTAACTTTAGTATTGGCTGAAATCCTTTGATAACTTGATATTGAGTGCGTGTAATAAAGATGACTTTGAATTAGTGACATAGCCGAATATTCCAATGAATTGAAGATTCTTCCTACCAAGGCGAAAAAAGAAGAGTGTGATGAACAAGCGAAAGGATTAAGACAGCGAATGATTTGGTGGACGAGGTGGACGAGTTTGTGAACATATCACATTTCTATATGATGGTCAATCACCGATGGCAGTACTGGTCAGCAACTTCGTTTGAGAACAAGAACGCTATTCCACATAAACGAACACTCTCCTTACCCACAAAGGATCTATCGCATCTCTTTCACGCCAACCTATCTTTATCTTATGTGATCAGTATAAAACTGAACTTATCGAGCACTGGGGATATATTGAGCAGATTTTGTTTCATCCACATCACCCGACGGTGGACGAAGCAAATTTTTTTTCGAGATGTTGCTTCGCAACCATTTACCTCACTATCCTAACCAAGATTATTGGTTATATCACTTCCGCTGGCCTAAAAAAAATTTGGAGCGCTAGTTTTTTCGGAGAAGGAGAGGTGACGAAGATGGGAAGCGACCTTTTTCATCTTAAGGCCCAAAAACGTTGGAATCCTACCAGAGCCCGTCACAGGGTCTATAAATGATAAGTAATGCAAGCTGGAGGAATTCGCGCAAAAGTATGTGAGAAAATTATGCGCATAGTTTTTCCAGTAGTGCAGTCAAAGTGCTGTTAATCAACTACAAAATGGCTGCATGGGAATTATTGTCAGCAGGTTCGGATCAGCGTTAAAGTGATAGTACAAGATGTTCAAATGGCTTCGATCAGAAAAGAAAATGCAACTGACTCATAAATGCTTCACTTGCCCGTAAATCACAACACCGACATCCAATTACATTGATTACATTGTAACACATGTGTGTGACCGAGCGGACTAAGATGGCAGGGATATTTGATGGGACAACATATATTGGGCGGACCTCAAAAGCCCCTGCATCCGACTTCTTTACACATCCGTTATCCATGGAATCCTTCTGATTTTGGGTGGACACGGCAGCTGGCTTGAAGATTTCGGCACTCTGAATATTTTCTGAATTGATTGTCGAGACAACTGTCCTTCGACTCTTAAGATCTTCATGTCGAGAAATTTCCAGGTTTTTCGCAGGCATTCGCCATATGTTATAGATTGGAGAAACAACTTATTACCGGATAAGTCGGTGTCACTTTTTTAACCCTCAATGATTGTGAGCTTCATTGATCTAATCTTACTTCAGATCAGGATCTTTGGCGTAATCTGTCACTACCTCTGAATCACCGTGGCTCTCTGTTAGAATCAAAAAATGGCATCAAGGAAAAAGCAGGTAATTAGTGAAAACACGTGCCATTTTTGCTGAGATAATGCCAAGTGTGATTCGTTGAAGCATTAGCATGGTTTTTGTCCTATTTATCCTATCTTTCGTGAAGACCGTCACATTTCCATGCAAATGATTTGTTCTGTTACATATGCAACATGTTCTTCATATGGTAGTCAGTCGAGGGAAACGTGCTCAAGCACAATGTCAGACTCAGACAAGAACGTACATTATGTCAGAACTTGAACTCTCGATATTTGCCGATGATCTCAACTGTGAGCCGATTTGTGTGCATATCTGTGTATACATATGTGCAACGTCCGTATTTATGTATGTCTATGTATGTATATACGTAGATATGAATGCATGCATGCATGTGGTATGTTTGCATGTATGCAAGCAAGTGTGTATGTACTTACGTATATATGCATATATGTATATGTATGTGTGTATATATAAATGTAGAAATGTATGTACGTATGTGTGGATGCCTGTGTCGATACAGTTTTGTTGAAAATGTATATTTTTCTAAACGGTTAGTGTCAAAGTCCCGTCTCAGTTCTCACATTTACACAGGAAAGGTTTGTGAGTGTTGAACTGGACTAGCAATTTTATCTACAATCCTGTTAATCTTCCATTGATTCAAATGGGTAGATGTAAGTTCTTTATTCGTTTCCTTAACAATTTAGAGTGGCTCTGTGGTTCCTGCTTACTTCGGTCTACAGCAAAATCAAACTTCCTAAATGAGATTTTGAGCTGTAGCGTAGGAGGAGTGGTGCCAAAACAGGCGTCGCTAGTGCAACAGGTTAGAGCACACGCCCGCGGCTATGGTGGAATGCAGATTGGAGTCCCGCCTGACGCAGAATTTTGCACATCATTCTACATCATTGGGTGCAAATGGGATTTTGTTTCATTGTGAACATTCGTCTAACCTCAGAGCAGCCAATCAATCATATTTTCTTTATTGATCAAGCATATGGTACAATCCTGTGTTCTCTTAAACACTTTTTATTTCTATTGTGACTATATCAACTGCGTCTGTAGGTTAGGCAACTTCTGATAGCTTTTCACCTTTAATCGATGCATTCATGGTTTACGAGTGAGCTTTCTGATATGGATCTCGAGTTTGTTTTGATCATGAGTCCTCCGCCACTCTACTCAGCATGTTCAATGGCATCATGAATGTAAAACTATTGGGAGCGTAAAACAGTGGGCTACGATCTTAAAGAGTTTTTTCATAACCTAATGTCACAGTATTGATTTCTTGAGAGTTACATGCAATTTTAGTCGATTTTTTTGTTGGATTGAGTTTGTATGTTTGTAACGTTTGTATGTTTGTGAAATATTCGCAGTCTCAGCAGGTTTTGTACAGCATTTTTAAGAGCTTCCTTCAGTCTTTGCTTTCTGGAGCGTCGAAGTTGTTTTTCCAAGTAATTATTGTGGTTTGGGTCTACTAAATCTATAATGAAGGCCAAGATCAATTTTTTACCTAGTAACTCTTTTTATAATGTTATTTATGTAACCTGACATCATAATCGATCAAATTTTTCTGCTTCCCACTACCGATCTTTCATCTACTACAGATAGTAATTACTACATTCCCACTCATTCACGGACGTTTTCTAACTTCTTGCCTGTCTATCCAGCTTTTGCGCGAGGATTGTCATTTTTTTTCGCGAATATCGTTGGTTGGAATTCTTTTCATTGACCGTCTCTGCGGTGTGATATTGCAATATATCCGGTGATGTAGAGTGGTCTGCAAAAGTGTTTGCATCAGCTGAGATTCGAACTCAGATCTCACTCTTCACGGGAGCGCGTGCTGAACCGTTGCACTTGCGACGCTCGTTTCGCACACCATTTTTTTCTACGCTACAACGCGTTATCTGTCAATAGTCAACCGTCGACGGTCTGACTGGGTAGCCGCTATAGGCAACCCACTTACGTTAACAGATGTTGAGGTTGGCTACTGACAGATAACGCATTGTAGCGTAAAAAGAATGGTGTGCGAAGTGGGCATCGGTAGTGCAACGGTTCAGCACGCGCTCCCGGAAAGAGTGAGACCTGGGTTTGAATCCCAGCTGACGCAAACGTTTTTGCACACCACTCTACATCATTAAGTGCATCGTTAAATGCTGGTCGAACTGACTCTGCTAGAAGATGTTGATTATTGTGTTGCATGCTTCCAAGTGGCCAGGAGAAGTAGAGTAAACTAATCCGAGTCAAGTAAATTCCTCAACGCCAATGAGGTGGAAGATTTGGTGAGCTCGAGGTGAAGTCGAAGTGGCGTCGTTGCCATGAGGAGGAAAGCACTATCAACTAGAAATTCTGCACCACGTACTCCTTATAACGAAATCAATAGATAATTGAAGCAAATGACGCGGTTTTTTGTCATGTCACTTGTGACCCGCATGGCCACACGTAGGCTTCCAGGAGTAAGATTAACTTGCAGCAGATTTCGCTGTTTTTCAGAAGCTGCAGTCATCGCGGTGGAATGACATCAGCAAGGAAACAAGCCTTCTTGATATCCACATTCACATCACTCATATGAGCCAGAACTCAGCAAGTGTGAAGAATGACGGACGTTCCACCAAGGCAACTTCGAGACTTTGAAGAGTGCTACACCTGAGCAGAGTTCAGATTTTAGACCTGGAAAGAAAGATCTGAGTACTTGTGAAAAATTGAAAATTTTGCATGATTTTCAACAAAAGCAGTAGCAGCCAGTCTTCAAAATAAAGACCATCGTTTTCTTCGACTTTGTGCCACCGATTCGCCAAGTTTCGCATCTGGTCGAAGTACTATTCCTTCAACTTCGAGTCAAAGAACTCGTGACATGCTTCTTCAACTTTATTGAACAATTCAAATCTCGACCCTTTGAAAAGTGCTATGATGGGGAAAAGGCCGAAGTCGGATGGAGTGAAATTTGGACTATAAGCGGCATGCGGCAGAACCGTGATTTGCTCATTTTATCAGACTTGTCTTTGATCTTTTTGGCAGTGCGCGTAATGGCATTGTCTTGCTGCGATCAAAACGCGCTTTCGATTGACCTAAGTCGGGACTAGAATCTAAAACTTGGCGACCAATGGCAGAAAGTCGTAAAAAACAATGGCATTTATTTTCAAGAATAGGTGCTATCGCATTTGTTATGGAATTTCATGCGTAAATTTTCAATTTTTACAGATTTCCCAGAACGTCGTTTCCAACCATAGCTTCAACAAAGACGAGTGACTGGTAATCAAGCTGCTACCGAATTCTCAAATCGGACTACTCTTGTAGATGAAAGTTGCCACACCTATGAGCTATGAAGGCTATCTTTGAAATATCTAACTACTCAAGTAGTCTACTTGATGTAACACTGTAAATTTGATGAGAAACGTTACTCCTATGTTGAATCAGAAACGAGGTTTTTTCAATGACTAAACATATATAGCACGCATTTATTATAGTTGCCTGTTCTAAGGAAAGTTGAAAAATGGATAGTCTCTTCTTTGTCTCTTTCCGCTCTTCAATTTGTAATCTGGTCATGTTCCATTGTTATACCTCTATTCATTCAAAGAGCTCTGGTGACGCAATGGCTTAATTGTACGGCGACGCATGATGGATCATTCGATGGTTGTCAGTTTGATACCGCGCTCAAGTTCCACTAAACCTTCCATTACTCCGTGGTCTATAAATTGATACCAGACTTGCCTAGATGGATGCCAACACTGACTTGCTACATGAGTAGCCACCAAAGTCATTGCCAATGCCAGATGTCCATTCACTCACCTCATACGACGCAAAAAATTTGAGAAGAATGCATCGCTCATCTTCCAGGAATTAATCATCTCCAAGAGTATTATCCTTTTATTCTTTATCCACTATCTTTGATGCTATTATCGTTATTGTTACTACTAATGATATGATTATTTCTTGAATAATATCTTAAAATGATGCACAATCGAAGCACCGTGACCGAGTAGTTGTGATGTTCATCGCGGCGAACTTGAAGCCGGGCTCCACCCTCCCACCCTCTTCCCCAACTCTCTCCGGCAGTCAGCGACAACGCTTTATGGAACGCCACAGCCAAGCTATCCTCGAGATAACAAAGGGACTCATTCAATCAGCATTCTACCACATTCCACAAGAAGACGATCAAACGAACTGCGTTCTACAAGTACTGGGATCCGCACAATGAAGAAAGTACCGTGAAGACGGATCAATAAAGTATCAAAGTGTAAAGTAAACGATGCACAGTCAATACTCGCTCGCCAATTAGTGAGATATCTTGCGACTGAAACATGAGAAAGCCGTTTTCATCACTGAACATGTCACTCGGTGCTGATTAGTCACCAATAGCTTAGTTGCAGTCACACTAACGCCAAATGGTGTCTAGACAGTTCGTTTCTTCAGAGCAAATGTCACTTGTTATGTTTACGGCTATACCATTACGACAGGTTTTCTGGGTGACCTTGTCGAGTCATCCTTTCGTAATATAGCGAGCTTTCCATCTCGACAACCACTCGCTCTTGAGTCATTGATATGATATATAATAGTCTTTTGCCTCAAAACCTCACATAAATAGTATTCACGAGGATTTTTTCACTACGCTTGCAGACTTTGTAAATTATTTATTTGTCACCGATACACGTAACAATGCGCTGTTTAGATCGGAGTATTTCAGATTCCACTTACAATTTTCTTTGACGCTATACCTTCTCACATCGCTCATTTTCTCTTTTGACTATTCTTGAATTTCTTCATAATCATCGCGCATCCACAGTGTGCTTAACAAAGCTACCGTAAAAGCAAAGCCATAAGGAGCGGAAGGACTCAAGACTTCTTCGCAAGAAATCACTGATTTGGCAGTTTAAGTATACAACGAGTGAGTTGGGATATTGTTAATTTAATCCACGTAATTTTTTCTCATATCAGGTCTCCTGTAGTAAAAAATTACCCCACTGCATGGGTTTCCCTTTGCGGCGATGTTCGAAGAGCTTCTAAAGTTTTTATGCAAACCGGAATTAGAAGATGATTCGAAATTCCTCTTCCGAAGACAAAGTTTCTTTGATCAAACTCCAAACTAACAAAAAAAAATGTAATGACATTCTTCTAAACAGCATCAAACATCGGAAGTAATTTAACTTCTCAGGCTCCATACAAAAGCGAAAAGAGACTATTACAGCGCTAAATCGCACCACACACCAATCAACGAGACTTGGAGAGATAAGACGTGAAGGTCGAATATATTTGTGTCATACTTAGTTATTTTGCGTATCAACCCAACTCTCGAATGGAAATTCTTAACACATATCTATGAAGATGCCTACATTTACTTGAAAATTTTTACCACTGTGTCACACAATGGTTAGAGGTCTCCTCTTACACATTACAAACTTTAATGCTGGCTTGACCTGGCGCCTTTATCACACCATGCTACGCTCTCCGACCCTCTCGGTGAATTGGTTATAGACCTATCTTGGAGTGTTGAAAAAGACTCTAACTCAATACAGCGGAAAGTGTATATAATCATTCGTTTGTATAGAACAAGTATTCCACACAATCACCTCTACAATGGTACATGGAGAGGTTAGTCAGTTGATCATCACTGAAGAAGTCGCCATCGTTGAAGACTTGATCATCACTCTGTATCTCTTCGTTTCACGAGTTTGTTCGCTTGCGTTATAGCTGGATTTCTTAGTTCATGGGATTTCACACCAAAAGACCTTATATCATAGAGTTTTACTGCTATATTTAGTAGCTTTTTGTGATCTTTTATCTTCCGAGTTTCTCAATATGTTTCCATGCGTCGAATTGTTCTATGGCATATGCCACAAATCGACTCACCATAACAACTTATAGCAACATGATTAGCGGATTTTTTTTTTGTAAGCCAGATTCGAGGTCGTTATCATATTATACATTTCATTAGAACAACTGATGTTTCGGTGTTTTCGAGTTCTTCAGAGCCTAGAAAGATTTGGTTGTCCACAATCCGTCGGCTAAGCACCTCTTTTACTCCAACAAAAAGAATCATTGAACCATTGAACCTAGATTTCAATCGCATAAAGCGCTAAAGAACTTTTTACACATTCACCGCTTTTATGAGTCTTTCACTGAGTTTGAGTGTAGATCAACTGTACAAATTTCACATGGACTGCCAATCCAATTATCATGTAATAATAGTGTTATTTATTGTATCAAATGATGCATGATAACAAAGCATTTTCCTCTGCTGTTCATGTTTGGATTCCTTGACTCTGAGAATCTTTCACGCTTGAGTTATATTTACCTATGGAGGATGGTGACTTCTACTTTAGAATTAGCCCTGTTTGAGTCTGTGTCCTAAGCGGACATAGTGAGGTACCCAGTTCAGCTTCAAATTGTCGGCTAGGTGTTCATTCTTATGGACACAGAATGTCCTACCGGTTTCGCCGTTGTGTTTGCCGCCGCACGCCTTATGAGAGATTATTTGAACAGCACCCGCGCCCATACAATCACCATCTATACCATGGGGAGTAACGTGCTTTCATATGGTGTACGTAAACGGTCCTACAAGTGGTTGCTTACACTTATTTCGTTTCAAGAGAAAGGAACAGGGTAGACTAGAGCTTGCCTTCAGTAGAAATATCGCTTTTAGGGTGCGTTATTTCCTCTAGACACATCCCGAGGAGAGCCGTTATTCTATCCATCGGAAACGACTATTTGCAGAGCCACTACTATCAACATATTCCTATATGCACCTGTTATTTTATAAATATATGGATCTTTTTATGACACTTCAAAAGGCACACTCTCTATAAACCTTAGAATTTGTACTAGTGTATGTTAATCTTGACGCATGGAAGACTAACCGGGTCC